TCTATTGGTAGACTATGAAGGGAGTTAAATCATTTTGACTAACTCACTAGTTACGTATATATATACACAAAAAACTGAAACATCCCCCTTATTTTGGGTATGTTATGGAATCTTCCACAAAAATTTAGTCACATCACTTTGTCCACAGTTAAGTACTCCGGGTTAATAAACATGAACAACAATATTATAAGTTTGGGTTGTGATCACAACAAAAAAAAGAGGAAAGAATTGCTACTTTACCCATAGCTGGGACCCATTAAAACAGTTACTATCACTGCGGGTCAGAGTGATCCTGAGCGTTATTGGAAAGCGAAAAATTGTTATATTACCCATAGCTGGGACCCATTAAAACAGTTACTATCATTCCGGGTCAGAGTGATTCTGAGTGACATTAGAAGAGGATTGGGCTAAAAGTAGGACTATTTATATTTATATCCCGAAACTAAGGACTTACATTCATACCAAAAACTGAACTGACGCTTCTTAAGACAATAACTAATGGATGCAGTTTTACGTCCTACCCAGGACATAAGGACCTTATAGGGACATAATAGATGCAGTTTTACGTCTTGCCCAGGACCAATGAGGACCTAACAGGGACTTAATGGATGCAGTTTTACGTCTTGCCCAAGACCAATGAGGACCTTATAGGTCAGTACCAAATATGGCAGAAGTGAAAGCCCGTAATTTGAATTTCGTAATTGGTTTTTTAAATAAATCCGCCATATTATTTCCCGATTGAACATATTCAGTTTGTACGGTTTTCTTTTTTTACTTGGTCCCTAACAAATTGATATTTGATATCGATATGCTTTGATCTTTGATGTATTATTGGATTTCTGGCCAAAGCAATACTGGACTGATTGTCGCAGTAAATAATTATTGGCTCAGTTATTGCCAGTGTTGTAATTGTTTTTATTAGTAATTTAAGAAAAATAGCCTCTTGTGTTGCTTTTGATAATGCAATATATTCAGCTTCACAAGTAGAAAGTGAAATCATTCCCTGTTTCTTCGATTTCTAGCTGATTATTGGGTTACCGTCTGCTAGCTTAAAGCAATAGTCTGGTGAGTTGGCCCAATCATCATCACAAAATCCTTCCAATTTTAATGGTTTATCTGCTTGTCTAAATAATAGGCACCGACTCTTAGTTCCCTTTAGATAACGTAATATTTGTTTAGCTCTCGTTAAATGCACAGTCCCCGGTTTATTTAAGTGTTGGGACAACTTAGTAACCGTGTAGCAGATATCTGGCCTGGTTGATGTCATCACGTAAATAAGACTTCTGACCAAGGTTCTGTATTCTTTCTCACACGCCGCTATACCATCTTCATTATTCATAATTGTGTTTAAATCCATTTCACATGGAGTAGTTCTTGTTTTACAATTTTGCATGCTGAATTTAAATAAGAGTCTTTCAATGTATCTAGATTGATTCATTGTAATAGTGTTGTCTTTAAATTCGAACTGTATACCAAGAAACCATGATAGCCGACCCAAATCGGCCATTTTAAACCTTATTTCCAGGGAATTTTTGATTTTTAATAGAGCGGCCTCACACTTTGATGCAATTAACGTATCGTCGACTCAAATAACCAGAATTACTAATATTTCATTATTAAATGTTCTCGTGTATAGACATGGGTCAACTTGGGAGGATTGAAATAATTCATATCTTGATTTATTCTCGTCAAAATATAATCGTGATCTGGGCTCATAACCAATGTTAGACATTTTGACGGTCGTCTTCGAGTATAGAATTCAGAGGTTAGCAGTGGATATCGCAGCAAAGTAGCAGAGCGTAGTACTTCTTTCTGTCATCTTCGCCTGACAAGTTGGCACTCGTCATTCGGGTAGGAAAAAAACAAAAATGGCCGCCTTTATACACGAAGGATACAATGTTCTGCGGCTTCTGACTGGTTAACCTTCTATTGGTAGACTATAAAGGGAGTTAAGTCATTTTGACTAACTCACTAGTTACGTATATATACACAAAAAACTAACAATATATATATGTGGGTGTGTGTAAGTATATATATATATATATATATATATATATATATATGTAATTGAATGAAAAGTATTTAAATTTTCAGTGAGAAATGCATGACCGCATATTTTTAGTTTTTTTGTCATTCAATTACACACATACACATAAACGCGCGCGAGCGCGCAAACACACAAGCGCGTTGTGTTTTGTTTAACGATCGAAAGCAAACGCTTTTAGTGAACGATTTGCAGTCGCATAAAAATTATAGAGACTGACTTGTTTACACAACGAAAAACAATACCATGTCCGGTGGCCAAAGATGCTCGTGGCACCAAGGGTGGCTGCAGCGCCTTAGCCTATGAAACTGGGTAAAGGATGGCGAGTGTCGAGGGCTGGATAATCCACGTGCTTTCACACGTTATATGTAGAAAAAAAAAAAAAAAACTTTCAAATAGCGAAAGTCAATTATCCACGTCTTTACGTGCCTACAACTCATTACCAAAATGTCGAACCAATTATGAGCAGGTTATTTACTTAATAACTATAGTACAAAATGTACTGATGAAATTTTCGGATTTTGCATCTTACTAAAGTAATTAATCGAATTCTTGCTTCACTTGGCGTTAAAAAACGTAATTACCATTGTCCCTGTCAACTGAATATCTTATACGAACTATTTAGAGCCATTCTTTTCACCCACAATGTGTTTAAAGCAAATCTAATGTTCGAGGAAAACTGAAAACATACATTATACAAGTACCCCTAAATGATAATCTTCTACATACACGCAAAACAACGGTGTAGCTATGGGATCACCCCGTCAACCTTCTTTCTCAAATATTATATATCATAGATATGAACAAACTGAGTAAGATAGATAGATATGAACAGCCTCACACACACACACAAACACACATACACACATACATATATAGATATAAACAGCCTGACATATATATATATATATATATATATAGAGAGAGAGAGAGAGAGAGAGTAGAGAGAGATAAACAACCTGACAGATAGATTGATAGATATGAACTGACTAAAATAAAGATAGACAGATAGATAGATATAAACAGCCTGACACGCACACACACAGGTATATATATATATATATATATATATATATATATATATAGAGAGAGAGAGAGAGAGAGAGAGAGAGAGAGAGGGGATAGATTGACAGACAGACAGATAGATAGATAGATATAAACAGCCTGACAGAGATAGATAGATATAAATAGACTGACAGAGATAGATATGAACAGAGTAAGATACATAGGCAGATAGACATATTGCTAGATAGATGTAAACAACCTGACATAGATAGATAGATAGATAGATAGATAGATACATAGATAGATAGATATAAACAGCCTGACAATGATAGATATGAACAGACTAAGATACATAGATAGCTAAATAAAAACAAACTTAGATAGATAGATAGTTAGATAGATAGATAGATAGATAGATAGACTAACTTGTAAATAAAACTTTCAATGCAATAGACACAGCCATTATATATGTTCGATACATTGAAAACATATTCCTTAAACTTGAATAATGCTTACTACAAACTATATAACAAAGATCTATATAACCCTAAACACGTCAGTAAAGAATTAAAACATCCACTACCATCACAAAATTTCAGATAATTTACATAAATTTACATAAATCAGTCCAAGTTAGATTATCTACCGACTCCAGTAATAAGGAAATAATAAAATTAGATATATAAAAGCTTTAGAACTAAGCAACCATAAAAAAATATATATATAAAAATAAACAGAAACACCGTAAGCGTAACATTATATGGTTTAATCTAACTTTTAATCTATATCCCAACATAACAATATTATATTGAACAGATGCATATCCAAAAAAATTACTTTTTACAAAATAAATACAACTTCCGAAAAAATAGGATCTGTCCCTTAAACGGCCACTCTATGAGGGGTAATTTTGTATACCAAGCTAGCATACATTCCAGTAACGATGTCAAATTTAATAGCTCTGAAAGCTTAACTATCAAATTCTTAGACCAGTTAACAATTAATTGACGTCCTTTTCAAGATCAGCTGCCAAAATGTCTATGAGACTAATTAATCTGTGATAAAAATTTGTATATATATATATATATATATATATATATATATATATATACACCATATACCATATACCAAAAGTCTATATAAACATAGATACGGTAATTTAAGAATTAAACCACCCTCATAACATTCTAGATAATTTTTATAAATCAGCCAAAGTTAGATTATCTACTAACTCCAGTTATAAGGAAATAATAATAAAATTAAATATATAAAAGCTTTAGAACTAAGCAACGATAAAGTAAATATAGAGTATTTAGAAAAAAAACAAAAAAGGTAAAAATAAACAGAAACATCGGAAGCGTAACATTATATGGTTTAATCTAACTTTTAATCTATATACCAACATAACAATATTATATTAAACAGATGCATATCCAGCAAAATTATTTTAAAAAAAATAAATGCAACTTCCGAAAAAAATAGGATCTGTCCCTTAAACGGCGAATCTATGAATGGTAATATTGTATACCAAGCTAGCATACATTCCAGTAACGATGCCAAATTTTATATTGGTTCTACTGAAAATCCTAGGAAATTTCGTTTCTACCATCACCGAATGAATTTACGCAATATAAAATACATAAGCATCACTTATATATATATATATATATATATATATATATATATATATATATATAGAGAGAGAGAGAGAGAGAGATAGATAGATAGATATGAACGAAGGGAGATAGATTCTGATAGAACCTGAAATTTGATTGATAGACAGACAGACAGACAGATAGATAGACAGATAGATAGATAGATAGATAGATAGATATGAACAAACGGAGATAGATAAATCCTGATAGACCGTGAAAAATTGATAGATAGGTAGGTATGAAGAAACGTAGAGAGATACCTCGATAGCTAGGTAGATAGATATGAAGGAACGTATTTAGATAGATAGATAGATAGATAGATAGATAGATAGATAGATATGAACAGAATGAGATAGATAGATAGATAGATAGATATGAAAGAACCGAGATAGATAGATAGATATTAAAGGTTTAATACAGACAGTAATAAAAATGTGGAGATTGATAGATATTAAAAAATTGAGACCTAGATAGATAGATAGATAGATAGATAGATAGATATATATTAAAAGATTGAGACCTAGATAGATAGATAGATAGATAGATAGATAGATATTAAAATATTGAGACATAGATAGATAGATAAATAGATAGATATCAAAAGGTTGAGATATAGATATTAAAAGTTTAATACAGACTGTTATAAAAATGTGGAGATTGATAGATATTAAAAGATTGAGCCCTAGATAGATAGATAGATAGATAGATATTAAAAGATTGAGCCATAGATAGATAGATAGATAGATAGAGATATTAAAAGACTGAGAGATAGATAGATAGATAGATGGATAGATAGATAGATGACATATACAGATATTTTATGGCTCTCTTTTCATTTAATGTCATTAAAATAATGGCTTTATTCTCGACTAAAATGTAAGTATTATGAAGTGCATACACAATTCATAATTTATAAACCATTTGCATAATCATTATAATGTTCAAAGCACGAACAATATGGCCGTTGTATGAGAAGTTCATCTGTTTTATAAGCTCGTCATGGAACAGAATGCTAAAATCTTAACATTTACTACTAATAATTATCTCGCTTGTTCCTTAGTTAAAACGTTCGTTACGCCCTACCATTATCTAAGATAAACAATGGACCATTAATTTAAGAATTAAGATTCATCAGAAAATTAAAATATCAAACCGTGAAATTTGCACTTGTTTTTTTTTATAACTATGGTGTTTCAAATGGCTGATAAAATACAAGTATAGTACAATACACCAACTAAAACTAGATAGACATGAACAAACTGAGATAGATAGATAGATAGATAGATAGATATTAAAAGATTGGGACATATATATATATATATATATATATATATATATATATATATATATATATAGATAGATAGATAGATAGATAGATATTAAAAGATTGGGACATAGATAGATAGATATTAAAAAATTGGGACATAGATAGATATTAAAAGATTGGGACATAGATAGATAGATAGATAAATATTAAAAGATTGGGACATAGATAGATAGATAGATAGATATTAAAAGATTGGGACATAGATAGATAGATAGATAGATAGATAGATAGATAGATAGATAATGAATAGACCAACTTTCTGGGTAAGGAAAGAGCTGAAAATTGCATAACTCTAGTGGAAGACCTCCTGAAATCATTGAAAGCATACAAACGTCTTGGCTCTAATATGTCGTTGAAGATACACTTCTCAAACTCGCATCTTGATTTTCCCCCGAAGACTGTGGTTCAGTGAATGACGATCATGGTAAACGGTTCCATCAAGACATTGCAACCATGGAGAAAAGGGATCAGGAAATGTGGAATGCATCAATGCTGGCTGATTATTATTGGACTGTGACTAGAGATGATCCTACTGTATTTTACAAAATATTCGTCCTTCGACATTCAGTTTCTCGGACATTCAGGTTCGATTCCTGTCGGATGACGAATATTCAGGCCGGTAAATGTTGTTTAATACTGTTTATTATAAACAGAGCATTTACTTAAATATTTGTATCTATAAAATGAATGTATAAACATAATATGTCTTAAAATAATGTTTTTGTCCATTTCATATATATATACATATATATATATGTAAGCAAATATATGGATATAGATCCGACAGTATGAAGAAAAATACAGAAAAAACAAACAAAAATCTTAATATACAATTATGCTGTATTAATGTTAATATAAAGTCAACGTCGGACGTTTCGGTCTATTTAAGACCATCTTCATGGACATTTTCATTTAAACATAATTAACATAAGAACATATGAAACATATAAAGGGATTTCTTGAACTGTTTATATAAAATAGTTCAATCGACTTTTTTAATATTTTAATATTTGGAAATCATCTTCGAATATGTTTTAACAACATCGCCCACGTGAGGACGACGTGATCATATTTAAACGGAACGTTGATCTTATATAAAAATTTCAGTTATCTGTTTGGATTAGTTGTGCTCTTATGTCCATCGTCTTTTGTGTTAAATTTTTATATGTTTTAATGTTAATTATGTTTAAATGAAAATGTCCATGAAACGTCCGACGTCGACTTTATATTAACATTAATACAGCATAATTGTATATTAAGATTTTTGTTTGTTTTTTCTATATTTTCTTCATATATATATATATATATATATATATATATATATATATATATATATATATATCTGACACATTGTGTGTTCTTCAATTAATTATGTACACCCATGTGCAGATTAATTGAAACAAAACAAAAATTCCGTTGTTATTTACTATTTTTGTATTTTTCAAAGAAACATGACGCAGTGCATATGTTTGTACTTCGTATGTCTATTCTACGAAGTAGTTCCTTGCGGATTGACCACAAATTCTCGACTGGATTTAATCAGGAGTTTCCGGGCCAGTCTTTAATACTTTGATTTGCTCATTGGTATAGCTTGCCAGTGTGTTCGTGCTGCGTTACAAATTTCTTACGCTTACTTGGAGTAACGTCCATCGCAGACAATGGTCGTAGGACAACTAATCGACAATCGAGACAATAGTACCTGGGCGTGATGAAAATCCGATGCTAATTCTAAACGTGGAGTCAACGTTCGCACTCACCCTAGATAAACAAACAAAAACAGATTTTGTTTTTTAAATTGTAAAAAATTCGTTGTAAGTATATCGAATATGAAACACATTTACGAAATGTGAATAACTCCTTGAATTTTGGTCATTTTTTTTTCATTTTGGGGTTTGTAGTGGTTGCGAGGCAAACTAAACAAATTTTTGTTTTAAGTTTATAATTTCAAAAGAGTGCCAAAGATTTAATAATAATAATAATAATTGATATAAAGTTTGTAATTTCTTGGTGTGAATTAATATTAGAGATATTACCTTTATTTATTTATTTGGTTTGAATTAATAGAAAAGATCTGATTATATAGTCTCTTCTAAAAAAAAAAAGAAAGAAATCCTTTACTTCTTAAGAAATTGCTTTATTTACATTTCGGATACAAAACTGAGTAAATATGCCTTTTCAAGAAAACTCTGAAAGAGTGAAGGTGACAAAAAAGCAAATTAAACCATGGTCGATTTTGAAGCTCTTCGTGGCCGAATAGTCTGGATTCACAGGATCAGATGGTGGTTTTTCTAACAAAGGGGATTCAGGTTCGAATCCTACCCGAGGGACAATTTTTTGAATATCTTTTCTCGACTGCGTCGGCCAACAGATAAAATAAATACAGTTTTAAAATAAACGGAACGTCTATTCAAATACGATTATCCATTAAAAATAACGTGAGAAATATTAAAAAAATTGTCAGATTAAAAAAATAGTTCACTAATTCTTTAGAAAATATTCCTCTAAGTCTTCTATGTTTTTCTATCTACAAAACTTCTCTATAAATTTCAACTTAATTTTGAAGAATTCTGGGTTATTGGTCGAGAAACAATTCATATATTACAATATCAATTCCAAATCGGCAGGAACACAAGAAGCAGTAAGGAATTTATTGTAAAGTTCAGAGAGAACAGGAGCCAGATCTGGAGCACGTTTCTTAAGGACTATTGCAGGAATACCATCAGGCCCACATGTTTTTGGAAACTTCCGTTTTTGACCAGAGAGAAAGGGTGGGAAAAAGAAAAGAAAGGGACATAGACTTTGGGGAGAGACGGGTAGACGGAGAGAGGGAAAGAGAAACGGGTACAAAGAGAGGGAAAGAGAGAAAAATAGAGAAAGGGAAATAAAGACCACTTCTAATGCGGCTGCAGTACACATGGTGTCCCTACGTGTCACAGGATAAAAAAAAATACACCGACCTCTCTGTAAATAGAAGCAATGGTTGTACGGTTTAAAGGTAAATAGTCTTCAATATAATATATTTCTTATTTGCATATTAGTCTATATATAATTTTGGTATTAACAAGTTACAAGAATATATGAATGGTCATTTGATATTTCTGTTTGTATTACTGTCATATAATGATTTTAGATATAAAAGATATTTAAGAATTAAAGCCCCAATTTGTTAAGAAATGAATTCCAAATTGCAACATAATCATCTTGGTGTAGTCGAAGATGACCTACATGAGCAGATATTGGCCAACTCTTTTCCCAGATTTTATCTCCATGTTTTTCTCTTTGTAAAGCCAAAGATTCCTTCATGAATTTCAGATTACAGACTGGATCGTTCTCACAATAAAAAAATAGTGAAGGAACGGGCAATAATTTTTGTTTAAAGAACTCAACGCAATTATCATAGATATCCCGGGTGTACTTGCTAGTTAGATGAATGTATAACAGGACTAATGTTTTTATTATTCTTTGTAGGATTTTTCTATTTGTTATTGAAATAACCAAACCATTAACTGAATTTTCCAAGTTTCCAAATGCAATGCTGTCATATATCTGACCAATAACCTTTTCTGATGGGAAACAAGGAACTCCAGACCTGCTGGTCATTTGTGCTAAAGTGTAATTATAAGTCCCAATTGAAAAACAATGGACTAAATATTTTTGGTAAGAAGGAATTTCATTCAAACATTTCTCAAGTTCATATCCAAGTTGAAAGGAATATGAGGGCCGCAGAAAATGCTTTGCTGTACCTCTCACGACCAGCACATCCATCCCGCGATGGTGATAAAGATTTGCATATTTTTGCACGACAGACATTGGAGATTTTAACCAGGTAAACATCAACACCAATGGAAAGGATTGATTAGACGATTGCATTTTCCATAATTCGATATGCTCAGATATTTTCACCTTTGCCGGCGTGGACTTCTCTAAAGATGTACTGCTTTTCCTTGATCCCTGAAGAGTGATCCATGTCTTGCTTTTGCCAAACAGTTTTTGAAACTTTGTAGCCATCATGACAATCTCCACCTGTAAGAAAAATATATATCAGTGAGATGTTATTTCTAGCATAAGGGTTTATTTTTTCTGTTTGTTTTAGAAATACACCTGGGATGTTGCCCTGGAATTATTAGGATTTTCAGATTTATCCAACATCAGACTCTTTCAATCGCTAGAGATGATCAAATACCAACATTTGACTACGCAACGGGACGGGTAAAAATATCAATCGCAGAATGTAAATTATTTAAAATAAATTTTGGAATTCTAAAACTGTAGCTTCCCTCCAATCATATTCAACTGATGGCACTCCACCCGCTTCAGAATAAAAGAATCTAAAAGATAGGATTCTACAATTGAGGCAAAGATCACACACACCACAAATATAGCTGATAAAGATTTAATCAGAAGAATTTTCCACTATACAATTCCGTTTCCACAAATAAGTTATCACAAGCCTCTTGCTATTTTGTTGCTATTTTGAAGGTATGTTTTCTAAGGCGCTACAGTCCTCAGTTCCACTAGCCTTGAACTAAGCTGCTGGAACCCACCATGATATGAAGAAAAATACTAGTCCTTCTCGCTATTTTGAAGGTATGTCTTCTAAGGCGCTACAGTCCTCGGTTGCACTAGCCCTGAACTATGCAGCTGGAACCCACCATGATATGTAGGAAAAGTCGAGTCCTCGCTATTTTGAAGATATGTCTTCTAAGGCGCTACATTCCCGGTTCCACTAGCCCTGAACTTTGCCGCTGGAACACACATGTTATGAATGAAAATACGAGTCCTTTCCGCTTTGAAATCTAGCCTTTCAAGGCGCTACATTCCTCGGTTCTACAAGCTCTAACCTTTTTAGCTGGGATTGACCATTCCTTGTAGGCAAATACGAATCCTTTAAATTCTCTTTATAATCCTTTAGTACGAAAGAATTTCCACTTTGCCAGCTTCATGCAAAGAACTTTTTAATCGAAATCACGCCATGCAAGCCATAACGCTAGTAAAACTGATGGGGTTACAGGATGTAGAAGGAGTACGAACCGAAACATTAATAATGAGCGGAAAGACGAATGATTTATAAATAGATAATGCTTGACATAGCAACTGAATTTTTTCAGATTAAATTTACCTGGAAATCCTTGATTCAGAAGAGAGATACACAAACGAGATGTGCGAGAAAAGGAACTCTCACTTTAGAAATTAGGGCTACGTCTAGCCATGTCAAATATAAATTGATGAAATCTCGACTCCAGTCTATGTAGTACTAAGCTTAAATTCAAAACGTCTAGGTTCCATAGCGAAGATCTCATCATAGAGAGACAACCCTATAAGGAGTAGAAACAGACTGTAACCGAGCTGCCTGATTCGGACCAATAATATGGCTGGATTTTATCAAGGAGCTCATATTAAATAGCATGGACACAGGACAATGTCTTAGCAATATTCTACGTATGGACAAATGGTACACTTATATATATGTAAGATAGATTCTGGAGAGAAAAATTGTCTCGCACGACACAGTGAACCAACTTTCTTAGCAGCAATGGATTTCATCTGATGCTTTATGGAACAGACCGCCAGTAGGATGTTTTCCCGGTCGTTATCTTCTTGACCTCTTCAAGTTGAGGTCCAATGGTTATTTTTCTTTATAACATGAATCAATGAATACATGAATGAGGCACAGTATAGCATCTAATAAATTTCATTTCCATGAATACTGGCGGCTCTGCAACAGTGTCTCTGTTAATCTCTCTCTCTCACTCGCTCTCTCTCTCTTCCATTAATTTGAGTTGTTAACATCTTCTGCGGAAAAAGCAGAATGATTTGCTTGTAAATTCTCTTCCAATTCTTCTTTTCTGCCATCTGGTGTATTTTTATCTGACGTTACACTTAAACTGATTCTCTATCGTGTGATATGGATTTAAATCTGTCCATGATTTCTGGTATTATCTCGTAACTAGACTTTAAGAAAGGCGTCCCTTAACGGGATCCTGTCCTTTCTAATCTCTACAATAAATAATTTGCTGCTTTTAGAAATTCTAAACCAGACACTTGTCTACCTTTAAGACTATAGTCTAAGCCAGACCCAGATCTTCCCGTTGTAATCGAGTCTAAAACAGAAGTATGTCTACCTTTTTAATGTATTCTAAACTAGATCTCTCACGACCTTTTTGACTCTAGTCTAAAACACATCTAACTCTACTTTTTGTACTATAGTCTAAACCAGACTATTCTATACTATGTCTAATTTTTATACTTGAATTTAAACCAGTCCTAAGTCTCATATAGGCTATCAGACCTATATCTACCTATTCGATTCTAGTCTAAACCAGACTTATGTCTACCTTTTTGAATCTATTCTAAAGTAGACGTAGGTACTATGCGTGATACACGCATAGGCGATCATGTATCTTTCGAGTCATGACTGACGAGGCAGATTTTTTTCGCAGTATTTTTTGTCATTTCCTACTGCGGTAGACCAGTTGCCATCCAAGGTTATAGAACCCAGTCTGTCCTGCTATTTACCCATAAAGAAGAGGATTCACACCTTTCGCAAGGGTATTAGCACATAAGTGAACGCAATGAATTCGAATGAAATTCGAACTCGGGTCTCCGATTCCTCAATCCGAACGGCTATACATTACTCCACCGTCCTATTGGAAAATTATTTGTTGCCTACAAGGCCATTTTGCCACTGTAATGTGTAATATTATATTGATCGTTGACTTAAAAAGAAAGAGATATTTAACCAAAATTTCCAACGTGCAAGAAAGGATTAAAAAACTGAATCAGATACGACTTTGATTTTTCCTCTTAATAATCGTAAGCATTTTGACGTTAAAACTTGGTTTTTATTAAATTTGGGCCTTTTTTCATCATGCTCTGTTATTTTTTTTCATTGAGCAAATGAACGTGCCTACGTCTGTCTAATCTGTTAATACTTTTTTCTTGAATGATCTTGGATTAAAGAAGTATTTTAAAAAAAACATCTAGTTACTTTAATTTTTTAAATCTAGTCCAATGTCTACGTTTTTTATTCCAGTTTAAAACAGTCCTATGTTTACAAATTGTAATCTAGTCTAATACAGACCTATGTATACCTTTTTGAATCTAGTCTAAACCAAACATATTTACTCATTTATTTTAAAAAAACTGACCTATATGTAGCAATGTCTATATATTTGTGACACATTATTTGTGTAAGATTATCAAATTTAAAGTTAAATTTATCTGAAATGAAATAAGCATTACTTACTTATAACATAAAAAATTAATATACAAGCGAATAGTCCTGTTTTTCTGAGTTGCTGATTGATGCTAAAAACGATAAAAAAAATTAATAAAATAAGTCTTTGATATTTCTTCTTGGTGAGTCTCAAAAAGGGTGAAACTGTCTTTGGTCTTTCCTCGTAATAATAACATAAGCATTTTGACGATAAAACTTTGATTTTATTAAGTTTGGGGCCTTTTTTCATAAAGCTATTATGTTTTTCACGGACCAAGTGGAGGTGCCTAAGTCTTAATAATCTTTATTTCTTGAATGATTTTGGATTAAAGAAGTATTTTAAAAACCATCTATTTACTTTAATAAAGATACTTACCTGCGCAAGATGAATTTTTTATCTTTTTAAGTTCCTTTTTGATCAACGTTCTAGTCTTTTTGTCCGACTGTAATATAAAAAAAAATGAGTCAATAGCTGTCATTAACATCGGTATGCATAAAATGCCCTTAACTTTTTCGTTTTATGATTGTTTACAATATTCTAACGTGCCTTTTTATAATTTAAAATAATTATCGTGTTGTGAAAGTGCACACTTCAAAACCGTGTATATGAGTAATATGTTGACAAAAAGCAAACAAATATATGAAGTGCATTTTTTTATCAGTAAGCTTTTTGAACTTCATATTTTCATCAAATTACTAATCAGTTATATAAACATATGCTAGATGCAGCTTCTAATGCTCTGTATTGAGTGGCTGTTTATAATAATAATAATAATAATAATAATAATAATAATAAAAACCCGTTTATGGAGATAGGACCTGTTACAATTTTATGGGATTACACAATACACACAGACAGAACAACCAAAGCTAATTGCCCAGACATTGTTACTAGAGACCGCAAAAAAAAAAAAAATCCTCCTTATCAATATGGAAGTCCCTGTGGACTGCAATGTATCTTTGAAGATCTTCAAAAATCTATCAAAATACAAAGGCATTGAAATCGAAATCTCAAAAATGTGGCATATGGGAACATCAACAATCGCTGTTGTAGTTGGAACCCTCAGGCTGGTTGGAAAAGATTGCTGTAGACTAATTGAAGGGATTTCTGACAGTCCATGCCTCAAAGAAATACAAAATATTGTTCTCATAAGTACAGCCCACACTTTACAAAGGGCTTTATCTATGTAATTTTTTTTTTTGTCAGTGGAAAGTGTCATGATGCCATTTCTATCCTTAGGTCTCTAGTTGGGACCCGGAAAGAAATGTGAACACACCAGAAATCAAGGGAAATAATAATAATAATAATAATAATAATAATAATAATAATAATGAACTCTCCCGTCGGATTCGACGTATGAGGATCTGACAACTTAACCAATTGATTCAGTTATATCTATCTATCTATCTATCTATCTATCTATATATATATATATATATATATATATATATATATATATCAATAATAAATATGCAATTTTCGTCAGCGGTTTCACAACTGACTTTTATGAACAGTGTAATCGGCAGGTAGTAATTGAAAACTGACCGTTGCATAATGTAAATATTGATATTTATACTGAACTTTAATCAAAGTGGAGCTGTCCATTTTTGTATAGGGAGTACTAAAATAATAACAACATTACACACACACATATATACACACACATATATACACACACACGTACACACACATTCAAATACAATTATATAACAACAATTTAAATATTTCAAACGGTTAAATAATAAAAGATCTCCTAAGATCAAATCTAATGATATTAATTCTTTGATTTTGCCGTACTCTTTACTACTACGCATCTTTTTATTTGATTTATTAATTGCGACTGTAGAGTAGAAATGTAAGATGATGTGGGACCTCCACAGGCCGATATATGTTGTCTAGTGTTATATAAACAGCTGAGAAGCCGGAGGCCAGATCTTTTTTTTGTATTTGAATCTCGTTGGTACGATAATAAATTAAATGAGGATGACTTCTACAATTGCAGTTGTGGTTATCCTGCAGCGATGTAAAACAATCAAATGAAATAAATATGTGTCTCAAATCTGAGGACAGTGCAGTGGATGAGGCTAATGGTGATTACGAAGTCACTGTAGGTCGGAAAACTCACTCTGTTCGTTCTGATAAGAAAAGAATTCCTCAGTTTTGTTTGAGGGTCTCACTCAACACAAAGACTTAAATCAAGTGCCTGGGTCAAGAGGGTGGCTGCTGGAAGACTATGTCTGCTAACAGGAATCTGCAACATGTGACACAAGCAGGAGAATTTGTCATGGCTGTCAGATAATTTCCTTGAAACCATCACTCTTACATCTGGTTACCTAACTCCCCAGCCTGAAAAATCTTTTCATTATTATGTGAGGGCTGCAGTTGAGTGAGAAACCAACAAATCTCCTTTAACACCAAAGATGAACTGATGTCAAGGATTATGGCAGCATCCAACATTTTAAACAGGAAGACTGTCCAGAAGAGTTGCAGGGGATTCAGAAGTCGTCTGGAGGACAGAGTTTAAGCCAATGGCGATTTTATTGAATACATCGTCCCTTTAGTATATCAAGATATATTTTTTAGTTTCGGTAAATATATCTGTTAAAATGAGATGTCAGTATTAATTTCATTTTTGCGTGATTTAGATGGCAATTTATCTATCTCATCCTGAATACATACATACATACATACATATATGTCTTAGTGCAATATACATATGGTCTGCTATTATACAAGAAGAAAATGACTGTTTTTTTTTTTGTTTTTTTTTAATGTAGCCACTCTCAGCAGACAAAATTACGAACAGGATATCATTCTTTTCAGCTGCTCAGATGATATGTTCCGGAAAGGGATATATTTGTTCGAAGTAGCAAAGTGGTTTTGTACTACTGTAATCGAGTATGACAAACTAGCAGGTAACCGCAATGGACTGGTCCTCGTCGTAGTGGTAGGCAATAGGCGTAGACAATAGGCGTCGTCATGTACCTCCACAACAGTCTGTATTTATGGCTGACACCAGCCAATCATATTACTGTGAGGAGGAATCAGGTGTATGCATATTCATTACATCACCTCCACCTGCTAAATTTCCCGTGAAATTTAGCTTCAATATTTTCTCGTTTTATGGTTTGGACTTAATCGATTGATTTTTTTCCTAAGTCTTTTTCGCCCCAATTCTCCTTGCAGTGGTGGCCTTTGACACACTGGTACCTCAGGCCTTGATGTCGGGGATACCTCCATTGGCGATTGTTGACTTTCAAATGTGTCATACAAGACTTCCATTGGAATCTCTTCGGTATTTTCCATGACCTCTGTAGTGTGTCTGGGTCTCAATAGATTCCAATGTCATTTGCACCAAAATTTTTCTCCTTTTATGTCATATAAGACCTGTCCAATTCTTTTGGTTATCATTCCTTCTTCCCAATACTTTTTTCCAGCTCTAAAGTTTTTGAAAAAACTTTGTCAACTGGCTTATACGCTTCAGTCACCTGGTTTTCTTTTTTAGCAGTTTTCTTCGCCGGACTAGGCAACAGCCTGTCGAACACAGAGCGTATTTTTCTCGCAAACATTAACTCTGCTGGCGATAACCCGGACATCGTTTCCGGGTTTGGTGTGATTCTATATACTGCCAAAAATTTCTGAATACTTTTTTCATTCGTGTCCACGCCTTGTTTTTTTTTTCAACGCTCATTTAAATGTGTCCACGAATTTTTCCGCCTGTCCATTCGATCTTGGATGATATACTGGCGTTGTCACGTGATCAATGGACAATGATCTACAGAATTCCTTGAATTCTCTTCCCGTAAACTGCGTTCCGTTGTTAATGACTAAAGTTTTAGGGAGTCCAAAGCGACTAAAAATTTCATTAAGTGCGTTTATTGTATTTGTTGCAGTCGGACGTCTGCACTTAACAATTTCTGGCCACTTAGTGAAACTGTCTACAATGATCAGGTAATAAGATCCATTTATCGGCCCTGTATAGTCGATATGCAATCGAGTCCATGGGACATCTGTCTTTGGCCATTGTTGTATCTTGACCTCTGCACTGTTTCACCAAATTATCTATGTCTTGGTCCATCCTCGGTCAATAAGTATAACCTCTCATTAGAGGTTTCATTCTCGAAATCCCTGGGTGGCCATTGTGAAATTCTTTCAGAATTTTCTTTTGCAGTGAAACCGGCATTACAAATCTATCTACGTATAGTAATACCTGTTCGCAGATTGTAAAAGGTGACACACTAATTCCTTTTTTAGTTGTCTCGTTCAACCAGACTTGCTTTTTCATTTGTTTTTAATGAAATCATCGTTCACCACTGCTTTTTCACATCTTCTAGCGTAACTGGTAATTCGCTAATAGTGTTGCATAACAGACCCAACAATTCACTTTCGTCTCTTAGCGCCACTATTACTTTTTCTTCCAGTGGTTCCGTATATTTAGGTATCAATCTTGATAACCCATCGGCGTGACCTAGCTTCTTTGAAGGCACATATTCTATTTTGAAATTATAATTCAATAGAATTACACCCCAACGCTGTACTCGATTTGCCGTGTGAGTTGGTATACATTTTTTTGAACCAAATATTGTTAACAGCGGTTTGTGGTTTGTTTGCAGAATAAATTCTCTTTCGTATAGAAACCTGTGAATTTCTTTTACAGCTTAGATTATTGCTAAACTCTTTATCGATTTGACTGTAACTTCCTTCCGCGGGCAGTAACGTTCTCGAGGCATGTGCTATTGGCTTCGTAGATCCGTCCTCGAATTTATGAAGCAATACCGCACATAGTCCCTCATTACTGACATCTGCTGCTACACTGATTTTCTTCTTCGGGTCGAAATGTGCTAACGATAGGTCTGCTAATAGACAGCATTTTTATTTTCTTTAAATCCTGTTCGTATTCTTTCGACCATATCCACTTTGCGCCCTTTTTCACCAAATTATTTATTCATATCATACATTTTGGGGAAATAAATGCTATAGTAATTTACTAATCCCAAGAAGGCCTGGGTGCTGACATATTTTTTATAGCATCAGCCCTTTCTGGGTCTGATTTTCTTCCTTTACTGTCAATGATCTGACTTAATTACTTCTTTAAGAAGAATTTGCATTTTTCAGCACTCTTGAACCCGTATTCCTCAATTCTCTGAAATACCGCTCTAATACGCGTTTTGTGTTGGGCCTCGTTTTCACTCTTAATCAAAATATCATCTAAATATGCGATTGCATACTCCATACCAACCAACATTGTGTCCATTTATCTGCTGGAATAAGCTTGGAACTACCTTCAATCCAAAAGGAAGACGATTTAGTTTAAAAATCCCTTTATGCGTGTTTATTGCCAGGTTCTTCGAACATTCTTCACTGACTTTAACCTGAAGGTAAGCCTCCGACAAGTCCAACTTTGAAAACACTCTACCTCTGTTTAATTTAGTGAATATATCC